AAAAATATAATGACATTGACAGGTTCAATTTGTCACTTTTACGCACATGTGCGCAAAAGCAAAACAAATTAGCAGTAAAGAAAAGTGCTTCTTTAAGAAAATCGCTTCTGATCGAAAAATAGCACTTTTAAATTCATTTGAATAAAAAAGCGATTTTTTTCGTTTTGGTTAATCAGGCTCTGTGGAATACGTCAAATGTCGCAGGTCCCAAACTTGTCTTAATTTGACAATGTAATTAATTTCTTTACAGTTTTATAATTCGTGCCCTTTGGTTTTCCAAGGCTCTCAGCGACTGTTTTTGTTGACCATCCTTCCTCGACTTATTTCAGTTTTTTCAAATAATCTGGAATGTGTCATTTTGACAAGAAGAGAACCAGTTGTCAGTATTATGTCATTTACGCAGTCGAAAGTCAGATTGGTAGTCACATCAGTTGAAGACCACCCTATATTATTTACTTGAAATTCTTTCTATTTCATGCGTGTGATTCTTCAGATATTTTTCATGGGTTTTTGAAGGCATTTCAGATGCCAGCGACGTTCAAGGTCGCTTTAGCACTGCTATTTGAATAAATTTGCCAAATATACGCGATATTGGCTGAAATATTTATTTGAATATATTTTTTCCGGCCAAAGTATTAAAATAATTTCGAATTGTCCAGGCTGTCCGGTCCGTTCGATTTGGGGGCTCGATGGCTGTCCGAATGTGTGCTGGACAGCTGTCGTTCTCGGGTCACGTGAGCCAGAACGGCACACTGTAGGCTTAAATTGAATTATTTAATTAGTCAGCTCAAACGAGGGTTAATAACGTAGACGGAATTGTTAAATTATGGCATGAAAATCGATCGGCAGTGGGCGACGATGGGCATATTCATTAATTTGTCCTGTTGCGATTCACTTTGTTTTTTGCTCCCACTGCTAATCACATCAACATGTCCAGATGGTCGGGGTGTTTCATATCAGCTGTTGTGTCCGGGACGTCCCAGGTGTACACGAAACAGCTGAACGTTGCCCACCCTTCAGCTGACATGGTGAGCAACAAGTAACAGATATCGGTGTTTTCGGGTCACCGCACTGTTGATTTCATCGTATAAGGGGTGCCCTTTTCAACGGGCAATGATTCATTTTCGGAGAGAAAATAGACGGAAAGTGGCACGAAAGTGTGGGCTGAATTAAGTGGAAAGAGTCCCAATTTCTGTTGATTTTTCAAAAATTTTAAACTTGACCACAAATTGAAAAACAAACTTAAAGTGGAGTTAAACAAAAATTCGTATCTTTTAGGAAAAAAATTTACATCAACATACCGAAATGTTCGCACCATACAGAAAAAGGTTTAACCGATGAGAGACCAAATATTACTAAAATCCCCACTTCTGCTGATTTTTCCAAAAAAATTAAACTTGACGAGAAATTAAGAAAAACGTCCATGTTGAAGGGTAGTGATACAAAAATTCGTAACTCCCAACTCACTTACATCAAGAAACTTAAATTATCGCACCATGAAGAAAAAGGTTTCATCAAAGAGCCGAGCAAATTGCACTAAAATCCCCATTTTTGCTGATTTTACAAAAATGTTTAAACTTTACTAGAAATAAAAAAAAGCGTAAAACTTTTTAACGACAGTTTAGCAGAAATTCGTAACTTCCAATGAAATTACACTAACAGACTGAAATTTTTGGGCTATATAGCAAAACGTTTTATCGAAAAGCGAGCTAGATGTCACTAAAATACCAATTTTAATTGATTTTTCAAATTATTTGAAACTTGGCGAGTAATTGAAAAACCGCTCAACTTAAAGTGGAGTTAAACAAAAATTCGTAACTCCAAAACCATTTACATCTACAAACTAAAATTTTCGCACCATACAGAAAAAGGTTTAGACGAAGAATTGACCAAGTCCTACTAAAATTTCCACTTCTGCTGATTTTTCAAAATTTTTTAAACTTGACGAGAAATTAGGAAAACGGTCCATCTTGAAGTGTAAAAAATTCGTAACTCCCAACCCACTTACACCAAGGAACTTAAATTATAGCACCTTGAAGAAAACTGTTTCATCAAAGAGTCGACCAATTTCCACTAAAATCCCTACTTTTTTTCAAAAATGTTTAAACTTGACTAGAAATAAAAAAAACCGTACAACATCGTAACTCATAACTCACTTACATCAAGAAACTTAAATAACCTTACCATGAAGAAAAAGGTTTCATCAAAGAGCGGACCGAATTCCACTAAAAGGCCCACATTTGCTGATTTTTCAAAAAAATTTAAACTTTCCGAGAAATGAAGGAAACCATACAACTTGAAGTGTGGTTATACAAAATATCATAACTCCCAACCCACTTACATCACGAAACTTAAAATATCGCTCCATAAAGGAAAAGGTTTCATCAAAAGCTGACCAAATTCCACTAAAATCCCCCCTTTTGCTGATTTTTCAAAATGTTTAAACTTGACTAGAAATTTTAAAAAATCGTACAACTTTTTAACAGTTTAACAAAAATTTGTAGCTTCCAATCTACTTACACCAACAAGCTTTCCGTTTGTTGGTTAACAAACAATTTATATCAACAAATTAAAATTTTTGCACCATAAAGAGAAATGTTTTACTGAAAAGCGGACCAAACGTCACTAAACTCCCAATTGCAATTGATTTTTCAAATTTTTTTTTAACTTGGCGACAAATTGAAAAACTGAAAAACTTAAAGTTTAGCTAAACAAAAATTCGTAATTCCCAAACAATTTATATCAACAAATTGAAACAAAATTTCGCACCATACAGAAAAAAGTTTTACCGAAGAGTAGTCCAAGTATTACTAAAATCCTTGTCTTGGACCCCCTGTTTTTTAGGGGTGTTTTAATTTAGTTAAAAACACTTAAGTTAATCAAGACATTTTAAATCAATTTCCGAACCAAACAATTATAAATTTATCTAATAAACCAGTAACTGATGTGTTTCTTCTACGAAAAATGTGTTCTTTCCATATCAAAAATTCCGCTCATT